AGCTCCCATGTGCACTCTTGTTGCACAATGCATGAACCTGCTTAAGAGACTTGAGGCAAACATAAGGTCAGGTCGAGTATTAGAGAGGTAGAGGAGACTCCCTATGATACTTCTGTAGAGGTTGAGGTCTTCTCCTTCGGTACCGTCTCCCTTCTTGAGTTTATCACTGACCACTAGTGGGGTAGAGACGGACTTACAGTCTGCCATGCCGAACTTCTTCAAGATTCACTGTGCATAGGCCTGCTGATGAATGATGATGCCATCTTCGTCCTGCTGCCAAGAAAGTGTTGAAGGAGGCCTAAATTTGTCATCTCTTACACCTCCATCATGTCTTTCTTGAACTCATGCATAAGCTTCTCACTGTTGCCTATATAGATAATATCGTTTACATATACAGCTACAATGAGAATATCTACCTCATCTCTTCGAATGTAAAGTGTGGCTTCACTAAGGCTCCTTTTGAAGTTGTGTTGGGTGAAGAATGAGTTGACCTCTTCATACCACGCCCTTGGTGCTTGCTTGAGACCGTAGAGCGCCTTGTGGAGCTTGTAGACTTTATCCTCGGCTCCTGCAACTTCGAACCCTTGTGGGTGATGGATGTAGACTTCTTCTCGTAGCACCCCATTGAGGAATGTCGACTTCACATCGAGCTGGAATACCTTCCACCCTTTGTCAGCAGCTAGAGCAATCAAGAGACGAATTGTCTCTAGTCTGGAGACAGGGGCAAAGGTTTCATTGAAGTCCACTCCGGGCTTCTGTGAATAGCTTTTCGCCACAAGCCGTGCCATCTTCTTGTTGATGGACCCGTCAAGGTTCAGCTTAGTCTTATAGACCCACTTGACGCCGATGATTGGCTTGGCCGCAAGTTTCTCTACCAGCTCCCAGGTGCCATTTTTCTATATCATGGAGATCTCCTCCTGCACGGCTTTCTTCCAATCTTTTTCTTTGATGGCTTCTTCAAATGACTCAGGCCCCAATATGCAAAAAATTACATGAAGCATAAATCTCATTAAGATTTCTGTATCTTAATGGAGTTTTATCTGAGGAGGAGGAAGAACTGGGACTAGAGTTGGATGGTGTGCTTGAGTAGCTAGCACTTGATCTTGGTGTGGTTGAGTCGGAGCTTGTTGAACTCGAAACGTTTTGTGGAGTTTGCACTTCTGGCTCTGGATCTGGATCTTGGGTGCTCTCTGAATCTAGGTAGATGAAGTTTGTGTGCACCTGCTCCTCCTTCTTGAGATCCCAGTTCCACTTGGCTGATTCGTCAAAGACCATATCCCGTGAGATGACGATCTTTTGAGTCTTCAGGTTGAAGAGCCTGTAGTCCTTCGTATGGCTTGTGTATCCCATAAAGATACACCTTCTTGTGTTCTCCTCTAGTTTGAATGAAAAAAACAAAAGCACCAAATTCTCTATCTTCTTCTACATCTCTCTCTCTCTCTCTCTCTCTCTCTCTCTCTCTCTCTCTAATTCTCTATCATACTAGCCTTAGCCAAAGTTTTTCTTTATTACTCGGTTCAAAATTACATCATGGTATCAGAGCTTCGTTATGATAACTGAGTGTAAAGAAACCTTACCTCTACAAAAACACCAACACCCACTACCAAAACTCTTCCAAATAGCCTCCTCAAAATGACTGATACAACCGTCGATTCTCCAACTTCATCTCGGGTTCAAGTGGTTGACCCAATAGTCATTGAGTCCGACTCAAAACCTACCTCCGGCGAGATACGAACACCGATCTTCTCCGGGGAGAACTATGACTTTTGGCGGATCAAGATGAGGACGATATTCAGAGCGCATGACCTTTTGGAAGCTGGTGGAGAAAGGTTTCGAGGTGCCAAAAGACGAAGACTCTCTCACCCTGGCGGAGCAGAAGACATTAAAGCTCAACTACATGAGGGATGCTAAAGCCCTCGAGTTGATCCAAAATGTTGTCTCCGACTCCATCTTCCCCAGGATTTCCAACAAGGAGACAGCAAAGGCGGCGTGGGAAATCCTCCAAGAAGAGTACCGTGAAAGTGAAAAGGTACGGGCGGTTAAGCTTTAAACTATTAGAAAAGAGTTTGAGCAAATCTCTATGAGAGTAGAAGAAAGACTCGATGATTTTCTTACTAGATTCACCAATGTTATAAATCAATTAAAAACATATGGTGAAGATGTAACAAATCAAAGAGTAGTTCAAAAAATTCTTATTTCTCTCTCTAGTAGATATGACCCCATTGTAAGTATGATAGAAGAAACAAAAGATATGGAGAAGCTTTCATTACAAGAGGTAATCGCATCCATCAAGGCGTTTGACCAAAAGCTTGAGAAGAGGAATGAAGCTTCTACCATGGAGAGAGCCTTCCAAAACTTCAACATGAGCTCAAATCAACAACAGAGCCAGAAGCAAAAGAAGAAGAAGAAAAGAGACAAGCTCAATTTTTCTCCAAAGCCTCAACAACAACAGCAAAGTGGCAACTCCCAATAAGGTAGCAAACCCACATGTAGAACTTGCGGCAAGTCTCATCAAGAGAAGTGTTGTTCGAGGGGAAGCCCAAGTGCACCAACCGCTCCAGATTTGGGCATACCAAAGAGCAGTGCAGGACTCAAGGAAATCAAAACCAAAACTACTGGCAAGTCTTTGCAAACAAAGAAGAAGACGGCGAAGGTAATGTTTTCTTTGCTTGTCATGGAGGAAAAGATAGTGATGGTAGTCTTTGGTATGTTAACAGTGGTTGTAGTAACCACATGACCGCGAACCGGTCACTGTTGATAGACTTAGACACATCCTATCTTGGTAGTGTTAAGATGGGAAATGGAAATATTATAAAATCTGAAGGAAATGGTATCTTGGCTGTAAATACAAAGAAAGGAAAAAGATACATTAAGGATGTAATGCTTGTACCGGGTCTAGAGGAAAATCTGTTAAGTGTAGGTCAAATGCTCCTTAACAGTTATTTTCTAGTTTTTGGTGATCAAACAGTGAAGATCTATGATGATAGGAGTTTTAACAACTTGGTGGGCAAAGTCAAGATGGAACCCAATAGAAGTTTTCCTCTCTCACTGCACCACTTGAACACTCAAGCTCTAAAGGTCGAAGAGGTGAACTCCTCCTAGCTATGGCACAAGAGGCTCGGGCATCTCAACTTCTAAAGCCTTAAGACTCTTCAAAGCAGAGAAATGGTGTATGACCTCCCAACCATTGAAGGAGTTGAAGATGTCTGCTCCAGTTGTATGAAAGGCAAGCAGCACCAAGACGAGTTCCCAAAGGAAGGAGCATGGAGAGCAACAAAGCCTTTGGAGTTGATCCATACGGACCTATGTGGTCCAATGAAGATGGAGTCCCTGGCCGACAACAAATATTTTATCACTTTTATTGATGACTTTAGCAGGATGGCCTGGGTCTACTTTTTGAGGCTCAAATCAGAAGCTTTCACCATCTTCCAAAAGTACAAAGCAATGGTGGAAAGACAAACAGACCTGGAGATCAAGAAGATTCGAAGTGATCAGGGTGGAGAGTACACTTTAGCAGAGTTCAAGGACTACTGCAGTAACCTTGGCATCGAGAAGCAAACCACATGTCCATATACCCCTCAACAGAATGGAGTGGCAGAAAGGAAGAACCGGACTATCGTGGAGATGGTCAAGAGTCTTCTACATGAGAAGAACATTCCCTACAAGTTCTGCGGAGAAGCAGTCAACACCACAGTGTACCTTCTCAACCGGTGTCCAACAAGAGCATTGAAGGACAAGACACCCTTCGAAGCATTCTCAAGTAGAAAACCTTCCTTAAACCACCTTAAGGTTTCCGGTTGAATTTTTTTTGCTCACATCCAAGGCCAGTTGAGATCCAAACTGGAGGAGAACACAAGAAGTGTATCTTTATGGGATACGCAAGCCATACGAAAGGCTACAGGCTCTTCAACCTGAAGACTCAAAAGATCGTCATCTCACGGGATGTGGTCTTTGACGAATCAGCCAAGTGGAACTGGGATCTCAAGAAGGAGGAGCAGGTACTCACAAACTTCATCTACCTAGATTCAGAGAGCACCTAAGATCTAGATCCAAAGCCAGAAGTGCAAACTCCACAAAATGGTTTGAGTTCAACAAGCTCTGACTCAACCAGACCAAGATCAAGTGCTAGCTTCTCAAGCACACCATCCAACTCTAGTCCCATTTCTTCTTCCTCCTCAGATAAAACTCCATTAAGATACAGAAATCTTAATAAGATTTACGCTTCATGTAATTTTTGCATATTGGAACCTGAGTCATTTGAAGAAGCCATCAAAGAAAAAGATTAGAAGAAAGCCATGCAGGAGGAGACCTCCATGATAGAGAAAAATGGCACCTGGGAGTTGGTAGAGAAACCTGCGGCCAAGCCAATCATCGGTGTCAAGTGGGTCTATAAGACTAAGCTGAATCTTGATGGGTCCATCAACAAGAAGAAGGCACAGCTTATGGCGAAAGGGTATTCACAGAAGCCCGAAGTGGACTTCAATGAAATATTTGCCCCTATCTCAAGACTAGAGACAATTTGTCTCTTGATTGCTCTAGCTGCTGACAAAGGATGGAATATATTCCAGC